ACCTGGCAGCGTTAATCGTCCGTTGGGTAACCTTCACCGCCTGATTGATGGAGGCTGGCGTGGGACGCAGGCAGCCTTTAAAGCGCTGTTCATGTGGGCGGACAGAGCGCGAACCGCTGCTGCCAGCTGAGAAACAGTGAGTCGCCGTGACGCAAACGCCTTACATAACGGAGCGCAGAGGGTTGGTGGAGAAACTGGTGGCTCTGGGACGTGACGGTGTTTCCAGTGAAGATTCCCAGTAGAGAGACGGATCAACGCCGAGGATCTACAGGCCGGAACTTTTACTCCCCCCACACCGAACAGCTGTCAACAGAACCATCCAGAACCAGTCTGAGGAGCTGGTTCTGTCTTTCAGGCTGTTGGTCTGGGTGACAGCAGGTCTACAGCAGCTCATCTGGTTATTAAGGAGAAGACTGACCCCCGACCCCCGACCTCCACCTTCATCCTGATCGTCTCCTAAAAGGTCGTATCCTCCGATCGTAGCTGATCGTAACCATTCAAGTTAACGTGTCAATTTACACCGACTTCTTTCCGTTCCTCCGTCTTTATAGAGAAAACTCGTTATCACACGATTGAACGTGAATCTGTGGGTTCTTGGGAGTTCTCCTTATGTCTGTAATCCACCATGAAATTCGCCTCACAAACGGATCTGGTAGGAATTGGCAGATGATGAAAATCACCGCCATTCCGAATCAGAGCCATTCTGGATGGGGTGGAAATTGGGGGTGAGAGACCAGAGACCAGTTCAGACCAGAGGTTCGAATTTAACAATCAAACCAAACCTTCTTTAGACGTTTCAATGGTCCGGACCGTCCTGAGTTCTTTTAATGGTCCGGACCGTCCTGAAGCGTTCAAGCGGTCTGGACCATCCTAAGGTGTTTTAATGGTCCGGACCGTCCTGAGGCGGTTTAGGGACCTTCTCCTGAGGTTCTTGGACCGCCTGGTAATTGAAAAGTCTTAATCAGAGGATCCGGCTCCCAGCTGTGCACACACACAGAGCAGGACTCGAAGTGCACCTGTAACACCCAGGTGTTTATCCAACTCCTGGGCGGAGGTGAAGTCAGGATGGGCGGAGGAGCGGCTGCACCGATCCACCAAAGAAAGGTCCGGTTTGATTCTCGGTACCGGGTTATTTGTTCCACTCGATCTGTGGAAAATAAACTGCAGTGTTCAAATTTGTACGAAGCCGATGGGTGAACTAATGTCTTCCATATGGACCCTGAACTGCTGGAGCCTGTTGGAGCCTGTTGGAGCTGCACGCTGTTGCACCAACCATATTTCAGTTGGAATTCATTAGGACGTTGGGACTGCATTTTTCTTATGGAAACCAAAAGAAATGAGAAATGTGGATGAGGCTGTTTTTTCCGCGGTCCTTGGAGAGCGTGTAAGTGATCTGAGACACTCGGGGTGGCGTCTGGATGAGCCTGGGTTTGGATCAGGACCCTGCATCTGGGGCACATGTGCCGCAACAGGGACAGAAAGACGGGGGGATACGGAGCCAGAACCTCCCTCTTTTTCTTTTCTTTGTCTGAACCGAAGAGAGAAAAACCCTCCAGCCCTGAAAATCTGCACCTTCCTCAGAGCCGAGCTTTCGTGACACGGTGACTTTAGTAAAATCACAATCTAACGTGTTTATTAAACTACGCCTCCGACACGCTCACTTGAGAAACGATCCGTGCTAACAGCAGATTTTCTCTGCGGTTGGACGTGTTTGGTTCGGCCCGGAGCAGATCTACATGAGGACTGGAAACAATGAGGGGGGGGGGGTAAACAGAGAGATGTCGCGGTTTTCTTGGCTGAACACGCCACCGCCAGTCCCCCCTCAGCAGCCGTCTCTTGGCATCTCTCCGGCTCGCCCTCCATTAGCAGCATCAGGAGGCCCGGGGCGGCCGACAGGAGTGTGACCGGAGATTATTGTCCTGTGTGCTTGTTTGGGTTAAGGCTTTAGATGGGGAAATGGGATTAGGACGGGCCCGGCTGGAGAGACACACACTAATGGGAAGCAGAGGAGTGCTGGCCTGATCCTCCCGCGCTCACAGAGAGCAGCCCTGTTATCCCACCTGATTGGATTAGCCCCCTGTTAAATGTGCTATGATAAGGGAGGACCACTGCTGAGGAGCTGCTCCACGCTGCCGCCGGGCTGGAAGCACAGAGTCCTCCGTCTGTTTAAAGGCCCGGATCTGTTTCAGGTTTGGATCTGGATCAGAACACAGAGAGGACCTGGAGTTATAGGACCCAATATTTCTGATTCACTTCATCATCGGCCTTCGATCTCTGTGCTCAACTGATCAGGGCTGCACCAGTCCGATATTTGAGCTCTCCAGTTTTCTATCGATTATCTGCCGACTAATCGAGTAATTTAAAAACTCCATTAATCAGCAGAGTAACGAGTTTTAGGGAAGTTTTATTTTAATGAGAGTTTCCTGGATAATCTGGTTTGAAGAGTTCGTTAGACTGACTGATGAACTTTAATGAACATAAATCACACACAGGAAAACAA